AATTCCCCAGCCAGCCCTGCTGGCTGGGGAATTCTGGGAGTTGAAGTCCACCCGTCTTAAAGTTGCTGAGGTTGAGGAACCCTGCTCTAAGGACTTTCTGACACCTGCTTAATTCCACAAGGTGTGGTCAAAAACCAAGATGGCAACCCCAATAGTACGACTGAAGCTCTGCTTGTTTTTTACGTGTATCACATGCTTCAGTCCCAATTGCAGCCACCATCTTAACTTTTGGACCACCCTCTGGACACCCATGACTCCTCCTGAAGAGCGGCTGCTTTCCCAGGTGGAACGCCCAGCATCTTCTCCTTCTGGCCTTCAAAACGGGTAGGGCCAAAATCAAGCCTCTTTTGCATTTTTGGAAGGGTGTGGGGTAAGTTAGGGTTGCCGATGCTTAAGACACCCACTTCCGGCTTGCAAAACTCCTCTCCAAAATAGGCCCCGCCCCCATTTCCAAAGCGTGGCCCCCAAGATGCCACACAGAGCCCGGCATGCCATAAGCAACCAAAGTTACCCTCTGTTCCTTTCCAGGACCGTTTTGGCCAGCAGATGCTTCTCATTTAGCTTTCGAGGCCCTGCTCTGTATTTTAACTCTCTCTGCGTTCGTTAAAACACAGCCTTTAAAGTGGCATTTTACATTTCAGTGAAACAAACAGCCCTGCTGGCTGGGGAATTCTGGGAGTTGAAGTCCACAGGTCTTAAAGCCGCCAAGGTTGAGAGACACTGGATCCAGGTCCTGGCTCCTGACCAAGTGCCTTCAGGTTCTCTTGCCAGCCATGGCATTAGCCAGAGTTGAGCAGACTCCGTTGCATCAACGGTGCCCTTTTGGACCTGAGACCTTAAAGCAGCTTCTAAGAAAAGCCAAGTGGCCACGCGGCCACATCTCTGCAGATTTTCGGGTTGCCTATGAAAAGGTGGGCTGCTGGAATAGTTTTCAACTTCCCAGCTCGGCCTTCAGCTCTACGATTCCCTCGTGGCCTCCGGTCACAGCACTACTCAGGCCAGGGATCAGCCGAGGTCAGCTGGGTACTGCCATCCCGCCCTGCGCAGGGATCTGGGTTCAGAAGAGAGCCAGGTTCACAGACCTTGGTTGAACCAAAATGTCTGTCTTGGTTTTGCCGACCGTTCTTTCTGCAACGGCCTTTGAAGGGCAGTGCATGGGTGTGGAACTTTTGGGGGGTTATCAGGCTCCGGGAGGTCAGAAAGCCGGGCACCAAGGGACGTTCTCCCTCTTCCCGGTGCAATACGTTTGGGGTGCAAGAGACAAAAACGATCAAAGGGAATCAGCAGGACCAGGCTCAATTTCCAGCCTTTTGGGGTATCATCGTGCATTCATGCTGTTTCCAAGAAAAGACCGGGCGGCCATTTGTCCAGAATGGTCTGAGGATTCCTGAATTGGGCAGGTCCCTTCCCATCCGAGGATTCTAGGCTGCTTTCAGTTATTGTTTAGTAATAACAAGATTTACATTACTTGTTTAGACATACTAAACAAGTGGAAAAACCACTTGTGGGACTTTTGCCTTGGGCAATTTTTTGTCCCAAGGAAATGGAGGATTCAGGCAGGGCCCAGGCGCCTGTTCAGGAGACGCTTCGGCTCTGGCGCCTTCGGCTAGAGGGGAAACCCCCGGCGGCGCCTCCCACCTCCTCATAATCGTTCTCGGGGGTGAGGAAGTCGTCCACCAGGGTGATCCGATGCCCCAGCTGCTCGCTCAGCGCGTCCAGGAAGCGGTCGGTGTCCCCGCTGCGCGGTGGCCGCGAGAAGGTGAAGAGCTTCCTCCGGCGCGATGGGGGGCTCAGCTTAGGGGACCAGGCGGGGCTGCTGTCCAGGCTGACGTAGGGGTTCGAGTCTGTGCTGCTGGGGGAAGGGAGGCCACCAGGCGAGCAGTAATAGCCAGGCTGCAGAGCAGGATCGTTCTGCCAGGAAATAGCCAGGCCTGATTTTCGGGCGCCTGCAGAAGGCACAGAAAGGGACACGCGGCCATCTGCCGCATAACGCCAACTTTTTCCAGGGCACGTTGGCCTTTACCAGCCACAGCGGTGGCACCAGATCTCATTCAGTCAGAAATGCACCTTTTCTAATACATTTTATTAAAAGGCAGAAGCTTTCCGGAGCTGCAGCTCATGAAACTTCTGTCTTTTAATAAAATGTGTTACTGTAGTTGGAAAAGGCGCTACCAGATTCTTTCTGATTTTTTTACCGCCATAAACGGTAAAAATTCTCTTACAACAGATCCCATTCAGGAACCTTGGGGAATCTAGAAATCCCCCAGGCTGATCAAGAAAGTGAATTTATTTTCCTTGCAAAAAAAATACACTGAGTATCTCAGTGCTGAGAATGAGGCATATTCATCCTTCACTTAATATAGGAAAAGAATCAACGTCAGAATATTACCTGCTATTTAATTTACGTTAGCCAGTTTGGAGAAGCTAGCCTAACAGAAGTGCTCAGTGCCTTTTTTGGAAAACAGAAGAGAAAAACACTTTGAAATGATTTCCAAGTGACCAACATTTTTGTGAAATACTATCTGGTATGTGTAGCATTCCCTCCATCGGGGAAGGGGATAACAGAAAGAGAAGCCGTTTCTTTCTGACTTTGAATGTTGCCTTCTTAAAAAAGGACAGTCCTTACTGTCTGCTGGGTGAACCTCAACACAACATTTATGACGATCATGCTTCTGTTCAACTGAATTTTAAAGAGAGAGAATCTATGAATTGGGATTTATTTGGCCTTTACAGCTTTACAAAAGTCCGCCTGATTCTAAGTTCTCTCAGTTCTGATCTTGGGGCACCACCAACCAGGGAGAAAAAGCTCCCAGTTTTCCCTAACAAATTCCATGCTCCAATTTCATCCCAACTAAAATTCTCCAAATTTATCTTGTGTACACCCACAAGACTGGAGAGGTTACCTGCTGGCTCTGGAACCAGGGACGATGCCCGACACACAGGCAGGTGGCTCAGCTTCCCTCCCAAACCAGCAGTCAGGCGGCTTTCCAGTTCGGCGTAGACTGCCGACATCTGCAAGCAGAAGGAAGAAAGCAATGCTTTGGGTGCAGTTGGGTGCTGGCCCTTCTCCCCCCACCCCCCACCCCAGCCTGCTTGTTTGCCAGACCCGTCAAGAGTGTGGCCTCTCACCATTTGGGGGTTGGGAGTCTCTGGAAGAGAAGTTCCATCACCTGCTTGACGCTCCCCAGGAGCTAAACGGCCTGGCATCTCAGCGGCCTCACTGGAACCTGCAGGAAAGACAAGGGGGATACTTGCAGGGATGGGTGGCACCAGGTCCCCTGAGGTCCATCTGGAGGTCCATCAGGAGTGATGGTTTGCCACCAATATTTCATCTGAATATATTGGGTATTGTTATTGGCAATGTTTTGATTTGTCATTGTTTTTGCTATTGGGGGGGCAGATAATTCTTTTCAACAGTGTAGCTGATGTTGTTGTTGAGGGCCTGCATGGTCTAGATAACTCAGTGGCCTCCAGCTTGAATAAATAATACATAAAAGTAATAATAAGCAGCCAGCGGGTGGACCCGAGCAAATGCCCACTCTGGGTGGGAACAAAGGCGTGATCCAGAGCAGGAAGCAAAGGGACCAGTGTGGGAAGCGTGCAGTCCTGGGCTCAGAGAGAAGGCACAGTGTGAGGACTCTTTGTGATTTGTTACTTGGATCAGAGAGCCCAGTCTGAAGCCAACAAGCCCAGCGCCCTCTCTGCATGCGCCACAGCTGGAGAGCCACCGAGGCCAGACCCGGAAATCATCAAGTCGGAATCACAGAATTGGAACGAATCTCTGAGATTTTCTCGCCCAACCCCCTGCTCACTGAGGCAAATCCAGAGCCCCTTCTGAGTAATCCTTTGATTGCTTGGATTAAGGAAGAGGAGGAAAGCTTTCTGTTGCAAGGGGGAGCAGTGTGTGAGAAAGTCCAGGCGGGCATGTAAAGGTTCTAGCTGTTCTCCACAAAGGGGAGCGGAGTGCAGCTGTTAAACCACTCAAGATATTGTGGGGTACAATCCATGTTATCTGGCAGAGCCCCTCAAAATTTGTAGAGGAGGGGGACACTGTCAAATCTGTCATTGCAAGGTACGTGAGCAAGCAGACCCATTGCCGTGGTGGCATCGCGTTCGATCACTATTCCCCCAAACCGCTGTCTGTATAGAGGGGAGATATCACTATCCCCTCCCTCTGGAGGGAGGTGAGGGGAAGTTGCCTCCTACATGCATTGCTGGACAAAGGTGGGGAAAGAGCCCAGAAAACAACTGCTGGCCCAGCCCCACCACTTACCCCTGGGTTCCCTGTCCTTGGGGCTATGGCCATGCAGACTCCTCCAGCCCCCTGGGCCAGTCCGTAGGGAGCTCCGGGGCTGTTCGTCCACTTCGGGCTCGGCTATGGCTGAGAAGAAGAAGCCAGGACTTTCGCTTTAGACATCCATCATGATCCCATCTTCTCATCACAAAGAAACACAGTTTGGGGGGCTGCTGGTCACCTGACTCTTCAGCATTACTCAACTACTTGGCTTGGCTTGGTAGAAGAGTAACAGACACATCTCGTCTAGACTAGAATCATTACTGCAGACAAGTATAAAGCCTCACACATAACAGTTGATGGTGTCACTGGGAACTTTTATACTTTCTCAAGGATCCGAGCGCCCTTCCAAATTAACACATACTTGGTGTGCTGGTGAGCCAGGCTGCTGAGATAGGGGAACTGCTGGTTCCTGCTTCGCCAGCCTCAACACTTACACTGTCGGGTGTTACTTCGAAAGGTGTAATAGCGGAGCGTGGGGAGCCTCATCCTGCAGATTTCACCAGTTTTGAGCAACTAGCTGCTTATTTGCAGGGTGAGCTGCTCCCAGATTATTGAGACCCTCAGCTGCCCACTACATCCAGGCCCCCAGGATTCCCTTCCCCACTCCTCATTCTTGGTTGAGCTGCGAAGCATCCGTAGATTACGGCTTTAATGGATGTGCTAGCTGAGTGCAGTGCAGAGATCACTGGCCTCTGATTATAACATCCTCTGGCGTGTGTTTCACAGGGCGGGAAGGTCTTCTGGTTTATCTCTTTCTCTCTCTCTGTAGTGTGGCGGTTGGGGTGCAGGATTATAAGGGGGGACACTGAGGTTTTAGCCCCTCCTCAGGCAGAAAAGCCAGCAGGGTGACTGACCCAGGCCTTCTCTGTCAGCCCTGACTGGGAAGTAAAAAAATACATCACTCTACCAACTTCCACAGGATGCGGTAGATTAGGAGGGAATTTGATTCACGCCACACACACACACACACACACACACACACACACACACGCTTCGTTATGAGCCCTGTTCGGTTCCCGCTGCTCTCCCTTCCCCTGCATACGTGTGCTGTCCACAGCGCACTAAGCTTTTGCTGAAGACAGCATTATAAACCATGGACAGCATCAGCCACTCCTTGAAATGAAAGGAACCACCTAAAGAAAGAGGCTTTTCTGGAAAGCGAAGAAAGCACTCCGTTTGACGTGAGCGGATTCCTCAGCATCAGAGCCTGCGGCCCTCTCGGATCACCATCTAGGCGGTCTCCACAGACCCCCCTCTGCGGAGACCGCCAGCCTGCCTGGTTCTGGGCCCACCGTTCACCTGTCCTGGTTCTGCAGTGTTTTCCTCAGACCAAGGGAGACGGAGCCCGGGGTCTTTGGCAGGTGAAGCAGTTCGGCCGAGGTAGCACGGGTAGGGGCTCCCTAAAGACACAGCCCATGCCTGGGTCTTAACTGTCCTAAGCAGTTTGGGTCAGCTGAAGAGGGGATTTAGGGCCATCCCTCCCTCCTCACAGAACGAGTCCCACGTCTCCATGCTCCTGGGACTGAGATACAAATAAAATGAATAAAACTGAGTGAGACAGACTCAGGACACCCCAGTGGAGGCAATTCTACAGCTTCTCTCCCCTGGAACTGGCTCTAGCCAGCAGAAATGCGCTGGCGAGGTGGGCTTGGTGTGGTGTCAAAGATACCTGCAGCCCAGCCTCCCGGTAGCAGCTCTGCCTGCTTGGCAATTGTGGCTGCAGAAACCTCTCCTTGCCCACCTTCAGCAACCTTGCTCCTTGGGCAGACCAGCGGAGGAGTTCTGAGAGCTGCATCTTCTAACACATCTGGAGGGCACCAGCTTGGGGAAGGCCACTCTTGCTCAGAGGCACCCTGATGTGCCGTTTGTCCAGTGAAAGTATCCTGTCCTTCCTCCATACATGGAGGCTCTTCTTGCCCCCCTCCCCACACACACGTACGCACACACCTCCTCCTGGGCATCTGAGCTGCTCTTTGGCTTAATAATAATCTCCTTGGAACAAACATAGGCATTCGCTTGTAAATAACAATTCCCAAGCTGAAGATTAAAACCTTTCATTCTAAATTTACTCTGATGAGATGAATGCCCACAATCCCTGAAAACACACAGCTGGCTCTGAGGTTGCCACAGCAACCCAAGGAAATACCCTGCACGAAGCAGTAGGTGCAAGTCGTTCACGGCAGAAACCGGGTGATGTGCTAATACCCTCCTGCCACGCCACAATGTTCCCTTGGCAGCTGCTCTCTCTATGGGCTGGCCGGATCCTGCAGCAGACCCAGAAGAGGGGAGGCACCCAGCAGGGCTCTCGTGCATCTCCCACTGACTCAAGCGGGCGAGGCCGGCCTGGGAGGATTGGGCCCACTGCCCATGGAGAGGATCTGAAGCTTCTGGGTGGGCGAAGGCGCTCTGCTCCCTCCATTCCCTCCTCTGCACCTGGAAAAAGAGGCTATATTCCAGCCCTGGGAAACTCAGACCAAACTTGTTTCAAGGAGAACCGGATCATGGCTTTTTGCGAGAGCCTTTTGTCCTTCGCCTGACTGCATCTTGGTCTCGGTAGGCAGATAAAATGCCCACAACCCAGCTTGGTTCCACGGATGCCTGGACCACTTCCCCAGCAAAGGATTTGTTCTGAGCAAGCTCTAGTTTTTCACTGAGGGAGCACCGAACAGCAAAAGGCGAACAAGGGCATTAAAAACCTTGAGCAAAACTTCTCCTTGGGGCTCCCCTCTCCAAGAGTTTTCTCTCTGCTCCTTTTTCTCCAGTTTTTCTCCCAGGCTGTTCCCTAAAAACCTGCTCCTTCCTCCTTTTGTCTGCAACTCTTCATCCCTTCTTCTAACCCTGAAACACCCCCTCACCCTAACAACCTCCTACCTGTCCTGGTCGGGATCTTTTCGGTGCCACAAGTGGGGACAGCTGTTCACCAGCCTCTAAGCGGCCAATCTGGGGTGGACTCTCCCCTTGGCTGCAGCAGGAGGCTGGTGGTGGTGGGCCAGTATTAAGCCCTCCTCCCTTTAAGAAGCCAGGTGCAAAAGGACCCTCCACTCCAGACTTCCTCAGCCTCCTGCCCTCTGCATAAGTTAGAACTACAATTCCCATCTGCTGTGATGTTGGAGGTGTGGACCTTGGCTGTTATTCCCACTGTGTAAATGTTATTATGAGGTGGTTTCCACCTCGTTTCATATATGAGAGAGAGAGAGAGAGAGAGAGAGAGAG